AGGAAATCCACGAGTGGTATAATGCAGGTGTGGGTGCGGGTGGATTAGATCATTTTGTGAGAGATCACACTTGATTTTCTTGTAGGTGGGTGTGAGTGGGTGCTCGGGCAATGGATGTTCGCATCGATCGCACAAATCTTGTAAACTATTTTTCTCCCTTCTATAAAGATACGGTACGCTATTGGCGTACTCTTGAAAAAAAACTTGTGAGGATAGCGAGGGTGGTGAACCGGCGGTGTTATGGTGGAAGTTGGTGGTGCTTGTGCCCGGAGCAATTTTTGGGGGAAAGAAGAAGGGCTCAATGATGTCGGGAGGAGGACGAAGCGAATAGGAGGAAGATCCGGTACGGGAGATTCGAAACGGATCGCTGCGCGCCGCTTAGCACTGTCCAGCAAAAATTCAAATCAACATTCATAACATAGCTTGGGATACTTGGGTACTTTTTTTTATGGAAAGCCTTGCATTTTGTTGCATTGCATCGTTCAAAATGGATGCAATATGGATACACCTTGGCAAGACAAGTGCACAATTTCTTGACCCGACACCATAATCATTATGTGTCTTTACTTGTTTAACGTGGGAATTATGAGCGGGCATATAGAATGCTTCGGCTTTGTTTGACCGAATCCAAGGTAGCGCCGAGCTGAAATTATAAAACAGCAACACGTCTCATTCACATTGGTTTAATCTCACTTTTTTTTAAAAAGTCCGGCGACTGCCGGCGCTTCATTGATTAAGCTTATTATTGTTGCATTGGTCTATGCTGCCAAGTGCCAACAGATGGCAATCACTAGCCGCTAGTTGCTAAGTTTGCACAATATAGTTAGTTGAGCTGTCCACAATACCAATGATTCAACACTAGTGCATCGGTGGGTCCAAAGTGGAGTACATTTGCAGCTTCCTGCCGCAATCAAAGTGATGCCGTGTGCATATATGTCCTGCTCTACAAAATACTCTTATATGTTCCTTAATAAACAGAAAGTTCAGTCAAACAATTCACGAATGCCCTGGTCCTGCCAATTTTGTATTTCTTGTGAGAGATACAAAAATATACTGAACTTTGGAGAGATAGGAGTAATACAATTGTAATATGATGTCTGGTGGTTTTGGGGAGAGCAAAAATCTAAGATGTAAAAGTGCAATTTTAGGAAATAACACTTGTCCCTTGTCAGTGCCTATAAAAAAGAAAGCAACAAGGGAAACAAAGGAGATTTTGGCAACGGGAACATGCACCATTCCTCATTTCCTCCATGTAAGGATGCAAGTAAACCCACAAACTAACCCGTTTAGTGTGCAAGTTACGAGTGAGTCCTAGCCGTTGAGTTGTTTGATACTTGTGGTACATACTAACCTCCCGCATTTTGCAGGATTGAGGGGACCCGCTCTTGCATCCCTACCTCAATGCCTAAAGCTCAAAAAAAAATCCATGTGACAAAATATCGTATAAGAACAACTAAGAAATCACTAGAGCTCTATCCGTTTATTAGTATAAGATGTTTTGGATATTTTAATATAGACTGCATACATACTGAAATGACTGAACAAACATTCTAAAACTTGTCTACATACATCGATTTAGAAAAAAAGTTAGAATGTCCTATAATAGTTAACGGAGGGGGTATTTTTTCGTGCAGGTATGCCAACTTGCATTGTTCGTTACTTACAGGTGGTCCCGTGTAAACTCACTCATCCCGGCTAATCATCCATGAATGTATATAAAAAATGATCAATGTAATATATTTGAAAAGTGTCCATTCGTAAGTATGAATTCGTCTGCTCTAGTGTATGCCAAGTGTGTTCCTTCGCAATAAAAAAATGTGTTCATTTGCCATCACAAACTATGAAAAAGTATAAACCCGTCAAGTCAAAATTAGCTCACTAAGTTGCACCACACAGGGGTGCCACCGGAGCTGCCTCCGGAGAAACAGGATCGTAGCGAGGCCGAAAGAAAGCGACAGCGGGTTCCCTTTGCGAGCCGCCGGCGCCACAGCTGGTTCCCTCTCCCTCCGCCGGCCGCTCCGGTGGCGAGAGGGAGGGGAACCTTAGATCTGTGTGTCGGATGGGTTCTCAGTAGGGTTAGGATTGAGGGAGTTGCTGCCAAGGCCGTTGCGGCAGCGTCGCATTCGAATTAGTTTCTTCGGACTCCATTTACAGTCAGGCCCTTGCCTTGGTCTAGGAGCCAGCGGGGTAAGGGACCCCCGGACCTCGTCGAGGTTGCGGGCTATGGTGTCTGGGGGTCGACCGACACTGGCTTGGTTGGTCCTCGGATGGGTGGTGATTGTGTGGAGACAAAGATTCTTCTTCCTCATCGTCGGTATGATTTCCTATTGCGTTTCTTCCTCCTTTGTGTTGTTGCTGGAGGGATATCCTGCTTTGCCCGGGCAGTTGGCCCGACCGGGGCGCCGGAACCGGATCCTAGTTCTCTTCCATCTGGAAGGAGCACATACATCGATACTCAAAGCCACATATGGCGAAGGCTGGTGCAGGCGTGTTGGATGCATATGTGTGTCCTTATCTATGCGGCGCGGGAGTGAAGAAAAGGGGGAGTAGTGTGGCGGCGATTATGGTTAAAGATGATGGCCTGCTTAAATCTGGTTGCAGATGCTTGTATTGCAGGGGTCTTCTCGCAAGGTTTAGGGACGATGACACAGAGCTTCGAAAATCTTCATGTTTTACTGGTTGTATTAGGGTGCTTTTTGTTATTCTGATTATTGTGCGTGTGTTAGGGTGTGCTTGTATGGATCAAGGACTTTGTATTATTTTGTGATTTGAATACACACATACTTTCTGAAACAAATCAAAATTAGCTCTAGGTCTGGAAAAAAAGCTCGACGCTCGCGAGCTAAACAAGTAGCTCGTGACTCGGCTCGAATCGACTCGAACTCGAAGAATAACGAGTCGAGCCGAGCTTTAATTTAAGATCGTTTATAGACCAAGTTAAACGAGTCAATCTCACGAGTACTCGTGTAACTCGTTAGGCTCGATATAATAGATCAGCCACTCCCAATACAAAGAAAGATCAGCCACTAAACAACCTACATCCCAGACGCACAACCCAAGGCCGAGCAGTTGAAGGCCTAGCCTCCTAGGAGACTCATGCGTTACAAGAAAATTACAATTGTTTAGTGATATATATGTTTAATATATACATAATCATTTTATCATATTTGAGGGCTTTATGTTTATATCTTAAACGAGCTTAACAAGCTAAACGAGCCAGCTCGCGAGTTATACGAGTCGAGCCAATCTTGGGTTTGAGCTCGTTATAGTAACGAGTCGAGTCGAGCTAGCTCGTTAACGAATTCCAGCCCTAATTAGCTCAGTGGAATTTTATTTCTAGGAGTGGAACACAATGACGCGTTAATTAGCATAGCATTTTGTTGTAGAGTTATTAATTAACATCAATAGAGAGTACTCAACTTACGATCATCACTCCTACACAGACCAGACCAGCGCGCCATACTTGTCAGCGACACGGACGAAGCGTCCATTTAACGGCGTGAGCGGGTGGCTAACGGCCATCAACCCCGCCCGGGGTAGACGGCCGTCCTCTCTCGAACCCTCCGCGGCCGTCGGGTCCTTCGCGGAGATCGCGTGGCGGAGACGAGCACCAGACGTACCCCGTCCAACAGACGGAACCGTGACGGCACGGGATTCTTCCCCCACCCGGCCCGTCACCAACCGGCATAAATACCCACCCCTCCCAGCCTCCAATCCTCACAACAGCTCCCAGGAGCGGAACCAACAAATCCCCAACCAATCTCGTCTCCGATCGACTCCAGGCTCGTCGAATCCCCACCGCCTCAAGGTACGGCGATTCCTTCCCCTCTCCCCGTATCGTCTAGATCTACGTTTCCGTAGTGCTCTCGTTGGACGTGTGGTACTGTGGAATTTGGCTCCGATCTGTTGTTAGATCGGTGAAGATTTAGCGAATTCGTAGGGATTTCGCGTATTGAATGGGTTGATCAGGATGAATTCCTTGATGACATGTGGTCCCGTTTGTTAATCTATGCATGTTTATGTACTAGTTCGTCTTCCTGCTTGATAGATTCGCCCAAGTAGCTTTTATACCATATAAAATTATCTCTAGACGCGTCTACTGCCTGATCTGTAGGCCTAAGATTGTAGATTGGTTTGACCCGAAGATAGGTTTCGTTCTGATAGCATGCCCAACAACTATATGCAAATCCGTGAGAAAATTGATAGTCTAGATGTGCATGAACCTATTTGCTCGCTGGTATCTCTTTGATGAAGAAAATATGTCTGTTTGAGTCTCTGGCTTGGTGTATAAGCTTATATATCTGCGTTGGTAGATTGGTTAAGCTTTAGTGAATTCGTAGGGATTTTCTGTTTATTTCCTATTTTTTACTTTAGGGTTAATATCCGTCTTCCACATGAGTTCGTGATGCCGTATGGTCTCATATGTTAATCTATGCATGTTTTATCTATTATTACATTTCCGCTCTGGCTTGGTAAATCTTTATGATCCTAAATAGTAGCTGCCTGATCTATTGCTTTTTATCTGATTGCTGTTGTACCAAGATCGTCCTAATAGGCATAGGATTGTAGATGTTTTTCTCCTGAAGCTTGTGGAATCATTGAGTTAGCAAATACATGTAGATTAGTGTCAGATGTGCTTGATTTGTTACCCTGAAGCTATCTTAGATAATGTAAGCATGTCTGGCTGCTATGTTGAATCATTAGATTAATGAAATCTGTAGACATTTGTGTTACATACGCTTGGCCCTATGATCTTTAATATCTTTATTAATGAAAAAAATATGCTGCTGCTGTAGAAGCTTGTCCATGCATTTCTGTTTGTTGTTCCATCATTGTGAGCTTGTCCATGCATTTGTGTTTCTTGTTCCATCATTGTGAGCTTGTCCATGCATTAGTATTTGTTGTTCCATCATTGTGAGTTTGCCTGGTCTGCTTCTTTATTCTTACCATCACCCTTGAGGTTCTTCTTTATTTCTTGTCCATGCGATTCTTCTTTGCAGATGCAGATCTTTGTGAAAACACTGACAGGCAAGACCATCACCCTTGAGGTTGAGTCGTCTGACACCATCGACAATGTCAAGGCCAAGATCCAGGACAAGGAGGGCATTCCTCCGGACCAGCAGCGTCTCATCTTCGCTGGCAAGCAGCTGGAGGATGGCCGTACCCTCGCTGACTACAACATCCAGAAGGAGTCCACCCTCCACCTTGTCCTGCGTCTGCGTGGTGGCATGCAGATATTCGTGAAGACCCTCACTGGCAAGACCATCACCCTGGAGGTCGAGAGCTCCGACACCATTGACAACGTCAAGGCCAAGATCCAGGACAAGGAGGGCATTCCCCCGGACCAGCAGCG